TGCATAAAAAAGTGCCAAATTTTATTTTATTCATAAATTTTTTTGGATTTCTAAATTTGTTTTAAGCACTTTATTGATTAAATATTATAAAAAAATTATCAATTTAGAGTTGTTTAGAGTATTTAAATATACTAAAACGTTAAATATATTATTTAATTTATTAAGTAATTATTCTGAAATTTAAGATTTTAGACTATTAAGTTATAGAAGATTCTATAGTTTAATGCTGTAAACCTGTAAGAGAAGAAGTTACTTTTAGGTATTAAAACACATATAGGGCCTATAATATTTGTCTATTTATACATATATAAACATTTGATCTAAAAAATAACTTTTACTAAATTATTAGTATGATTAGTAGGTATCTTGTATAATATATAAACTGTATAATTGTACCCTGGTTAATCTATAAAGAATCTAAATCCTGAAGGAATAGAGTTCTAATTGATGTGGTTCCTACATAATTACACGTATTTATAAATAAATTATATATTTATCTAACTTTAAATAGATTAAATTATATTCTACCAAGTTAATAAAGATAAATTTTGATGTAAAATATGTTAAATTAGAGCAAATGTCTTAAAATTTTGAATTTATTAAGAATCAAATTTAGAGATTTTCTTATCATAAATCATGTTTTTGTCAATTTTGTTTTTATTACATTATATGCATTTACAGCTTTTTATATATATACTTTTAAACATTGCCAATTACTCATTGATTGGTGCCAAAATTAGAATTATCTATAGGCTGTAGGGATGTGACAAACTCTCATTAACTACATCCATAAAATGTTTATCAGTTTAAGGTTTGTAGACCTTTTAATATTGTTCTAGGGAATATCATTGCTTAAACAGTAACCTAAATGATATCATCATCATGGGATTAGGATTTCTATCAGTAAAAATCTGCTCATTGTGATAAGAGCAAGTGAATGGGAGTTTAATCATGATTCTTGAATGGCACACACAAATCATGGATAAAAATCTACACATTTAATATCTTTTCGTTTATAAGAGCATAAAAATAAACAGTCAAATTGACCCTTTAAAAAAAAAAAAAAAGAAATCCTGTATACAATAAGGTAACATTTACAAATAATACATCTTGATTTAAATTAAAATTAGATACTTTTTGGTTATTTAAACATCAAATTATGATCCTGTAAGGATCTTAGATGGTTTGTATAATTAAAAAAAAATCACAAAGTCAATAGATTATTCAGTTTTGATCGTTAGGATGCGTCATACTTGGGTCAGTTTCATGCACTTCTGTTAATCCCTAGCCAAGGGCAGTTGATCCGATCACAGTGTGCAATAATCGGAAACGATCAAGCGTGGTGGATTTTAATGGCTTAATTTGTGTTAGAATAGCATCCCTCGGGTAAGACTGTATGGGTGAGAACACTATTTGTTTGTAGCTCTGAACTAAATTACAATAGTATAATGTAGCAATAGTGCAGGGGCTTTAATAGTCATTCATAATATGAATATTTTCTTTATATTTATATATGTGTAATTATACAAGATTCTCTTACTAATTTATATACATAATTCTTTCCACTATTCAGAATTCTGTTGCTAATTTCCTAATTTAAATAAATAATTCTCTTTAGAATTCAAAATTTTCTTAGTAATTAGCATAGATAATTTACTTCAGGATTCAGGTCTGTTGATAATTTATATATATAAAAAAGAATATTCCATTTTATCAACTAATTATTTATAATTTATTTAAATAAATAATCCTGAATCTTGATATTAGTAAGAGAATCTTGTATAATTACACATATATAAATATAAAGAAAATATTCATATTATGAATGACTATTAAAGCCCCTGCACTATTGCTACATTATACTATTGTAATTTAGTTCAGAGCTACAAACAAATAGTGTTCTCACCCATACAGTCTTACCCGAGGGATGCTATTCTAACACAAATTAAGCCATTAAAATCCACCACGCTTGATCGTTTCCGATTATTGCACACTGTGATCGGATCAACTGCCCTTGGCTAGGGATTAACAGAAGTGCATGAAACTGACCCAAGTATGACGCATCCTAACGATCAAAACTGAATAATCTATTGACTTTGTGATTTTTTTTTAATTATACAAACCATCTAAGATCCTTACAGGATCATAATTTGATGTTTAAATAACCAAAAAGTATCTAATTTTAATTTAAATCAAGATGTATTATTTGTAAATGTTACCTTACTGTATACAGGATTTCTTTTTTTTTTTTTTTAAAGGGTCAATTTGACTGTTTATTTTTATGCTCTTATAAACGAAAAGATATTAAATGTGTAGATTTTTATCCATGATTTGTGTGTGCCATTCAAGAATCATGATTAAACTCCCATTCACTTGCTCTTATCACAATGAGCAGATTTTTACTGATAGAAATCCTAATCCCATGATGATGATATCATTTAGGTTACTGTTTAAGCAATGATATTCCCTAGAACAATATTAAAAGGTCTACAAACCTTAAACTGATAAACATTTTATGGATGTAGTTAATGAGAGTTTGTCACATCCCTACAGCCTATAGATAATTCTAATTTTGGCACCAATCAATGAGTAATTGGCAATGTTTAAAAGTATATATATAAAAAGCTGTAAATGCATATAATGTAATAAAAACAAAATTGACAAAAACATGATTTATGATAAGAAAATCTCTAAATTTGATTCTTAATAAATTCAAAATTTTAAGACATTTGCTCTAATTTAACATATTTTACATCAAAATTTATCTTTATTAACTTGGTAGAATATAATTTAATCTATTTAAAGTTAGATAAATATATAATTTATTTATAAATACGTGTAATTATGTAGGAACCACATCAATTAGAACTCTATTCCTTCAGGATTTAGATTCTTTATAGATTAACCAGGGTACAATTATACAGTTTATATATTATACAAGATACCTACTAATCATACTAATAATTTAGTAAAAGTTATTTTTTAGATCAAATGTTTATATATGTATAGACAAATATTATAGGCCCTATATGTGTTTTAATACCTAAAAGTAACTTCTTCTCTTACAGGTTTACAGCATTAAACTATAGAATCTTCTATAACTTAATAGTCTAAAATCTTAAATTTCAGAATAATTACTTAATAAATTAAATAATATATTTAACGTTTTAGTATATTTAAATACTCTAAACAACTCTAAATTGATAATTTTTTTATAATATTTAATCAATAAAGTGCTTAAAACAAATTTAGAAATCCAAAAAAATTTATGAATAAAATAAAATTTGGCACTTTTTT